AAAGAGGCCCTTCTATGAGCTGTAAGGTGAAAGAAGCAAGTAACATGCAAAAGAAAGCCAATCCGAATAACGTCAGACTTCTCTACTGAGACTTTACAAGCAAGGAGAGACTGGGGCCCCATTCTAACTCTCTGAAACAAAATAACGCCCAGACTCGAATCTTATTCCCTGCAAAACTAAGTTTTATATATAAAGGAGAAGCCAAAACATTCTCAGATAAGTAAAGACTGAGACAATTCACCAAGACAAGACCAGCCCTTCAAGAAGTACTCAAAACAGTGTTACCCACGAATCAGCATAGTACTATTCTTGATTTTGAAATCCCAGCCTTCAGATTGAGCTCTGAATCAAGGTGAAATACCCAGTGTTGGCCAGCAGATGGCGCGATTGGGCATCAACAACTATACTCATCTGGATACTGACTAGGTAGCTTTAAAGATCCTGTGACTGAATTGTCAGGGTAAAGAATGGCTGAAATAATAATTAAAACTCGTGAGACAGGTCAGCGATGCTCATTATTTCTGATGGCATCACCATGTGCTAACCTCTTTCTAAAGAAACAGCTTCAAATAGCCAGTCAATTACTATGATTTTTAATTTTGGTGCCAGTAGATGCACAGCTCTGTGTGCGTAACAGCAGACGGCGGATACATGAGGTAATTCAGGCAAGAGACAAAGTCTTGATGGAAATGTGGCTGGCAAAGGTCACAGGCCCTGCATTATGTTTACAGACTGCAAAAGAGCCAATGATGCTAAAGCATGTGACGTCTTTGCTCACACCTTCACTATTCCCCCTCTCAGCTAATGCAGAAGAGAATTGGACATTTTTTTTCATCATGGGAAGGGGCTTGATTTCCTTTATTAAGAAGTACTAAGGATTAATTTTAGCATAGGAAATTGAGCTATCATAACATGATTCAAGTTTTATTTTTAACAAAATGAAACAGAATAAAGAAAATTCCCTAGCTAGAGGATATTATGACGATTCCTTGACATAAAGGTTGATAAAATTTATACTAAATCTGACTGAAAGTTTTATGATGCAAAAGGAAAGAGAGAAGCACATGTCTTTTTGTCTTATTTAGTGTCACAAGAAGAAACTGAATTGTTTCTACCTTTTTCACACCCTTTCCTTTTTCTGTCTTCTATATCCTTATAACCCATACATTTATATTTTGTTTTGCTTTTCCTAAAATATCTCTGACATGTATTTTTCCTTCTCTTCTCCAAGCTCAAAATGCTAAGTAGACTTTAAATTGATAGAGGTAAGAAACAACTTATTTTCTCCTTCATTTAAATTCCTGGTTGTAAGTAAAAATATGCTTTTATGGTCCTCATTTTTAATTTGTAGAAATTTTTCCTGCTTTTTTTTATTTTCTATATTTAAAGTTGTAAGGTGCTTTCTGTATTACCTTGCTAAATTCCAAAACTTACCCTTAAAAATTTTACCTTTCTATTAACAATTTCTAGTTAAAGGAATTTCAGAAAAATGAAAGGAACAAAAGGTTTCCTCTTCCTATAATGGTGGTGATAGATACCATTAAGAATTGTCAGATCTCTTTTGCTAAAATGTTAAATAAAAACATCCACAAAACTCTGAGGCTTGAGAAAATGTACTATGTTGTACTTGGGTTTTCTTTTCCTTTTTATAAAATTGTTCTCATAAAAGTTGCCTTAATAATTGATACTTCCATGTCACTGAAGGAGCTCATGGAATTTCATCCCAAAATATGACTCATTGATATAAAGAGTATTTTGAATTAAAGGCCCTTAGAAGTCAACAGGCATTAGAAGGGGCTTTCCCTGTATCTACATAAAAACCAGACAGACCCATAAAGAACAATTGTCTTTTCTTCCCCTCCAGGTTATTTCAATATCTATTCCAGGAAAGATGATGAAGTTAGCAACCATGGCTGGCCCAACCCATTTTAATAATAATACCTGTCTCTAAGGTTAATTTAATTTCCAAAGAAAATCATTTACAAGTCAATGTGTTTTCCACATCCATTCATTCTCCCAAATATTTATTCACCATCCTTAGTAATGATTTACTGCCCCTCAACAGAATTACCTATACTCCTCATCTCCTCTTCATCTCTAAAATGAGGGTATATAAACTTCTGTGCCCAACTGGAATATTGGATAATCCCTCTGTGATTCTCCCCATGTTCACAGTAATAAATTCATGATCTCTCTTATTAAATCTGGCTCATTGTGAGTTGATCTTTCAGTGAACCTTGGGGGAGGGGAGGTAAAGGGAAATCCCCCCCACATTACCCACCTGGATTGGAAAAATTGCTCTATGTCTTTTGAAACGTAACTTTGTACCCCTAAAATGTGTTTTGCTATCTGGTTGCTTTAGTTCATAATTCACTGCCTTAGTTTCATTATTTACACATAAATTTGCATTTTTCTGGAAGTATAAATACTCCAAAGAATTTTTAGGGATGGAATTCTTTTCCTTTTCTCCCTTTATTATAAAGTTAATATTAATCTACCAGACCAATGTGTTTCTTATTTAAACAAAGGGTGTGGAAGTCTTTGTCCCTTTTATATCAACAAAAGTCATAATAAGTGACTACTGGGCCTCACAATCCCTTCTCCTTTCTCTCTTGGAAGAACATGAGTAACGGTGTGAACAAAGCTCCCACTGCCTTCCCCTAACTACCCCCCCCCATAATGTCTTCTTAAATATGTATACCTATGGGAAAAGCTACATCAATGGGAAAGAACTCAAACTCTGTAAAATAATTTAAAGAGGTTTATTCTGAGCTGAATATGTGCCACCATGGCCTGGAGAGCCAACCCTAAGAAGCCTTGAGCAAGTGGTCTTGCCATGGTTGGGTTACAGTTTGGTTTTATACATTTTGGGGAGACCAAATGACTACTAAATTGTTATCAGTGGTTATTTCTGAATAGAGGGATTTTCAATGAATTAAAAATGTTTTTATATTTTCCTTTATTGTTTATCTTTACAAATTCACCATTAGCACATTCCAATATAAAACATTAAGTAGTTTAGAAAAGAAAAAACATAATTCTCTTGACTGAATCTTCTAGTAATGATTCTCACCTTATGTAATTGGAATCTACTGAGCCTACATGACAGACCTCGATGAAAGAAAGACAAATTTAATGAGTTCTCAAAATACTATTAAAAATAAAAATTACAGAATAAAAAGAAAGACTTCCAAGGGACCATATAAGATTGGAATTGCAGGACGGAGAAACAATAGCACACCTAGCTCTAGAATTTCATAAAATTAGGATATAACACCTAAGGAAAATGCTGAAAATTATCAATGTTTTTTAAAAAATTGGTCTTCTACCTCTGAATGATTTTCAGAGCTAAATAATCTCAGCACTTGTCCTGGAGGCTGCATCAGAGGAACAAGCACAAGTAGGTTGAGTAGAAGGAAAGAGGAGTTTATTATTTTGCCAAAAAATGAGGAGGATGGAGACTCCTGTCTTAAAATGCCATTGTCCTAATCATAAGTAGAAATACAGAGCTTTAAAGGGAGGGTTTTCAGTTCTAGACCATTGTCATTCAACTATAGTTAATGATTCTGATCATCCTGTCCCACTTTGTCCCATCTCTACCAAAGACAATCCTGAAAACAGTCCCATGACCTCTGTAAAGGACCTCAAAGAGTTAAATTCAGCCTGCCCTTCAGCTAAAATACCTGTAGCAATGGACAATAATTCTTAATTAACCTTTGATTGTTTCAATCGTTTCAATCTGTGTAATGTATCGTGTAGTTAAAATTTTACCATGATTGCTGAATCTATAAGAATAAATAAATGAAATAAAAGACTGAAATAAAATAAAAGAAATGCTGAAATAAAAGAATGTATTTTGGTTTGGGCTATGGGCTAATGCTTTCTGCTTCTGTAAACCTGCTTGCTTAAAGATTGTTATCGAGGAGGGTCCCAGACCCTGCAGCCATGGAAAACATGATGTAATGCTGTTCCAACCCTTGTGACTAAAGTCACGTAGCTCCTAACTTGGGTCTGTTTAAAATCTCCCTGCTTTTTCAGCTTGGGATTGCTATCTGTTCCTCTTCTGTGCAGGGCAGGAGTAGTCGCTGGCCAGCTAATAAAGACTCACAATTTGGCTCAATTTGGTCTGAAGTGGTCATTTCTCACACTCTGCACCATAACATTTGGGGGCCCCAGCGAGATTATGCCCCAGTACAGGCACCTGGTGACCACCGGTGTCCAGCGACTGAGTGCAGGATCAAGTGTTTAGCCTATGGGAGAATGAGAGACATTCCTCAGCCCCAGGCAGTGGCCAGATCACGCACTGGCCACCACCACCTCAAAGGCAATCAACATTTTTCTGGACGAGTGTTCTGGTTCTGCTCACAGGTGTCTGGTCTGTCTGTTCTGTGGTGGGGCCTCTCTGTTTACCCTTGGGAGCCTGGATGCAGCTACAGTCCCAGGGTCTGGTTCCAAGGGGTGAGAAGTTACCTGGAGCCTTGGGTTTCTGGTTCAGAACTCTGATCTGAGGTTCGGTCAGTCCCTACCTGGCAGGGACACACCGGGTAGCCTGTTGTCTGGAACTTGGTCTCTCTCTGTTGGTTCTGTGTCACGTCTGAGTTTTATGTGTAGATTCTGAATTTGAATGGATTATAAGGAGGGTGGTAAGGAGTGGGCCAGGTGCCAGGTGCAGGATAATCCAGAACAGGAACTTGAATAGGGCCGGCCTTGTTGCCCCTATTGCCAAAGGACCAGTGGAAGGCTGAGTTGGAGAAGTTGGAGAAGTCCCACCAGTGGCACTGGTGGCCCTCCAAATAAGCCCTCGAGAGCCTAAGGTAACTCAGTAGAGGCCCTACTAAAAGCCCGTCTGAAAGATGGCTTTCCAACTCGCCTGTATCCCTGTACCAAGTGCTATTGCCAGGTCCCCCCAGGATTTGCTTCTTAAAGACAGCCTCCTTCAACCCTGCCATCCAGCTTCTGGACGATGCCGTCAGAGCCGCTGCATAACTGCCACGGGATACTGGAGTCCCTTATTAAGGACAGATCTCACCGATCATCTCTGGCCAGACCCTGATGAGGAACTGTACACAGATGGAAGCAGCTGCCTGTCTGAAGGAGTCAGGTATGCAGATGTGGCTGTAACTGGGTTATTTGGACACAAGCCTTGGGGCATGGGACTTCAGCCCAACAGGTGGAACTCACAGCCCTAACCCAAGCCCTGCAGTGGGGAAAAATAAGACTGTCAACAGCTACACGGAAAGTAGATATGCATTTGCAACAGCACACGTATATAGGGCGCTCTACCAAGAGCCGGGCTTTTTAACCTCAGGGGGCAAGGAGATAAAAAAAATCTGAGTACTAGCCTTACTAGAAACCATCTATTTACCAAAAAGGTGGCCATTATCCACTGCAAGGGACATTAAAGTGCTGACTCCCCGGAAGCAAGAGGCAATGCTGTTGCTGACGCAACAGCTAAGGAAGTCGCACAAAAACCAGCCTCTCCAGATCCTCCTTGTTCTGCCAGAACAGCTCCTGCTGAATTCTCCGAGCTACACTGAAAAAGAAGTTACAACAGGAAAAGCCCTAAAAACTAGAACTGATTTGGGAGGTTGGAAAATCCTCCCGGACAATAGGGTCTTAGTCCCTGAGCACCTGGGACAAGACCTAATCAGGCAAATACATCAAAGACCCGCCTTGGTAGCACCAAGTTGACTGAACTTTTCCAGAAGGACTATATTCCCCGGCTCCTCCAGATGGCCCAGCAGGTGACAACAAGATGTCTCACCTGTGCACAAGTTAACTCAGGTAAAGTGACTAATCCTTCCCCGGGATCAAGTTAAGGGGGCAAGCCCCGAGAGAGCAGTGGGAAGTGGGTTTTACAGAAGTCAAACCAGGTAAATACCATTACCTGCTTGTGTTCGTTGACCCTTTTTCTGGATGGGCAGAAGCTTTCCCTACGAATTCAGAGACAGCACAGAAAGTTTTGGAAAAGTTACTGACTGAAATTGTCCCCAGATTTGGCCTCCCGCTAACACTGGGGTCTGACAATGGCCTGGCGTTTATCGCTAAGACAACTCAATTGTTAGTTGAGAAATTGAAAGTTAAGTGGAAGCCACACTGTGCTTATAGACCCCAGAGTTAAGGGCAAGTAGAGAGAATGAATAGAATCATAAAGGAAACATTAAATAAACTAAAAAACTAGAGACTGGCGAAGACTGGGTGAGACGCACTCCTTATGTTAAAGGCCTAACCCCATATGAAATCATGTTGGGCTGACCGCCCCTGCTTATTCCCAAGCTGGGGTTGGACAAGATAGCAGAGTTAAATAACCATTCCCTTCTTAAGTCACTGCAGGCCTTTCAGTCTGGTGCCCAGCAGACCCGAGACCTTATAAAGGCTGCTCATCATGGACCAACTAATCTTCCCCCAGAAAAAGCATCCTTCCAGGTCTCCAGCCCGGGGACCTTATCTGCATAAAGAAACTGCAACCAGCTACCTCGGAAGGCAGGGGAATTGGACCCCTAGAAAGTTGCTGGAGAGAGTCACTGGATCCACCACTGGCAGATCAAGAAAGCACCCCGGGATCAACTTCCTGAGAAATGGATCACCCGGCTCACCAAGGACCCACTAAAGATAAGGCTTTCCGAATACTCCTGGGGGTTCTCCTAGTGGCTTGTTTGGACCTAGCTAGTAGCACCCCCCACCAGCCTATAAATTACACCTGGGTGCTTACTAGGACAATTGATGGGGCTTCTATAGCCCAAATCTCCACCCTATCCCAGCCCGTCTTCCATTTTGACCTCTGTCAACTGTTTGGGAGGAGGTGGAGAGGGGCTAACACAGGTGGACTGCTATGTGGAGTTCATCTGGGAGACTGCAGCTATGGATGTGGGACCCCAAGTCGAGAACACAGATTACAGGATTATCGATACTATGCCTGCCCAGCCACCAGGCCCCAGCACTGTCGGGCAGAAGGACATTATCATTGTGCCAAGTGGGGCTGTGAAACTATTGCATCCTGGGTAAATAAAGACCCCCATATCTCTTCCACTCCAGGTAAGCCTGGCTGCTCTGTCCTCGGGTCATGCAACCCTGTAACCATTAAAACTCACCAGAGGCACACTCAAACCTGGGCTTCAGGAAAAACCTGGGGTTTTAGGCTATATGCCACTCTGGGAGGATACTGTGACCCAGGAATTCAATGTACCATTCAGAGGTTTACCCCAGCCCGGCAATTAAACCCCAAAAGACCTAATCATGAGTTATACCTCGGACCTATGCTCACAACCCCATCAAAGCCCGCTGGCACATTAGTTACACCGTCTGCCTTGACCCTTCGGAGCCGTGATCTTGCACCTGTTCCCTGTAGACAGCCTCTGCTTAAGTTGTTAAGTTCTGTTTATAATTATATAAATCAGACCAGCCCCAATATAACCAAGGACTTTTGGCTCTGCCTAAATCCGGAACCCCCTTATGATGTAGGAATTGGGACCAACCTTTCTGTTGGCCTCAAAGAGACTGATATCAGAAATTCAACCTCTGAGAAAGCCCAGAGGCAATATTTATGCAAATGTTGCCAAAAGCCCAAATTAACCCTTGAAGATCTGCAAGAGCAGGGGACTTGCATTTGTTCCTTAGATTTTGTCTTAGCCCGATTTCCCTTTGGGGACTCCTGTAGCTCAGTCATAAAAGTAGATAATTCCACAGACCTTGAGCTTAGATCACTCCTTATTAACCCTGAAGGCACTTGGTTTGCCTGCACAACTGGCATTGCCCCGTGTGTGAGAACCTCTGTCATCTTACAAGAAAAAGATCTCTGCATTCTTGTTGTTCCCCAGGTATACTATTATTCTGGAGAAAGTGGAAGAGAGCATTTGCAAGTTTCAGCCCCCTTCCTTGTTAAAAGAGCTATACCTGCCTTAGTACCTCTACTCGTAGGGTTGGGAATCGCAGGATCAGCAGCCATAGGAACCTCTGAACTCATAACAAGTAATCAAAATTTAAAAATTCTAAGCCAACAAATTGATCTTGATCTCAGTGATTTAGAAAAATCTGTCAGTCGCTTAGAACACTCAGTAAATTCCCTTGCGGAAGTAGTTCTGCAGAACAATAGAGGCCTAGACCTCCTGTTCCTTAAACAAGGAGGCCTGTGTGTAGCTCTAGGTGAAGCATGCTCTTTCTACCCTAATCATTCAGGAGTAATCAAGAACAGCCTCTCCCAGATATGTAACAGGTTGAGAGAAAGAGAAGAAAGCCAAAAAGCAAACAGTAATTGGTATAAAAATCCCTGTTTTTGGTCTCCTTGGCTGACTACCCTTTTGTCGGCCGTGGTGGGGCCCTTAGTTCTACTCCTGCTAGGTCATTAATTGGCCCATGTATACTAAATTGCCTTCTGTCCTATGTAAAGCAACGCATCCAAAGCATAAAACTGACAGTTCTCAGCACTCACTATCATCACATCTGTGATGTGGAATCAAGGATTTGATTCCCACTAAAAACCAGTGGGGAATGTAAAGGACCTCAAAAGTTAAATTCAGCCTGCCCTTCAGCTAAAATACCTGTAGCAATGGACAATAATTCTTAATTAACCTTTGATTGTTTCAATCATTTCAATCTGTGTAATGTATTATGTAGTTAAAAATTTACCATGATTGCTGAATCTGTAAAAGAATGTATCTTGGTTTGGGCTATGGGCTAATGCTTTCTGCTTCTGTAAACCTGCCTGCTTAAAGATTGTTATGGGGGGGGGGTCCCAGACCCTACAGCCGTGGAAAACATGATGTAATGCTGTTGCAACCCTTGTGACTAAAGTCACGTAGCCCCTAACTTGGGCCGGTATAAAATCTCCCTGCTTTTTTGGCTTGGGATTGCTCTTTGTACCTCTTCTGTGTAGGGCAGTAGTTGTCACTAGCCAGCTAATAAAGACTCACAATTAGGCTCAATTTGGTCTGAAGTGGTCATTTCTCGCACACTAAATCATAACAACCTCCACCTGCCAGGACTGGGCATCCACCTGGCAGTTCCCCTGAGCCATCTCCCGTAGCACAAAGAACAAAGGACATTCCCCTGCTCCTCCCACCTGACCACGGTTTGAGGCAGGGGAGCAGGTTTTAGTTCTCAAAGAGAGTGGGTAAGGTTTTAAAGAGACAGAAAACATTTTTGCCTTTTTTTCAAGCCATTCCCTCTGTTACATTTCTGGTTCAGTAATTTATTCCCTTTAGTTTGCTATTCAGTTATCTTTCATGTTAAATTTATTACTTGAATATTTTAATAATATTTCTATTGGCTTCTTTTTATAACATTTGCTTGCCCCTGTTTCAGGATTTCCTGTTCCTGTTTCGTGACAATATTTTCTCTTTTGTTGCCTCTTTTATTCTTTTATTTTTAAATTCTTTTAGATGTTCTATTATTTCTATTTCTTAAGCTATAAATTATTCTGATATTTGAGTTTGTTGCATGTCTTTTAAGATGGTTGGTTTTCTTGAATCTTTGATAATAATCCTGTAAAGTTTGAGAATCCTGTAAAGTTCTCAGCTGTGAGTCCCCCCTGGAGAGTGATGATTCAGTAGTGCTAACCCGGCCCTTACGAGGTGTGGCTCTGGCCTGCAGCTTGCTTTGCCAGCGTAGTTCTGGCCCCAGTATTGTTGAACAGCTTTGGTTTTCAGCCTTCAAATGAGTGCTACTGGGGCCCTGATCCTGAATTTTTGTGGTGTATGTTTGTTGTTGTTTCATATCTGGGAATAGGAGAAACAACAATACAACTCAAATGGCCTTTAATCGCTGCTTCTTTCCCTCAAACAAACCGCAACCGATTCATCGCTTAAACGACAGACAGACCTTATGTAAAACAAGTGCCATGGGGGCTACTTCCCCATTAACACCCAAAGTAAGCAATACAGTTCTTGCCTGATGGACACCAAGCTGGGTGTTCCTCCAATTCGAAGGTTCTTGACAACTAGCAGCCGCCCTGCTTCAGAAACCCAGTCTTGGAATCCCTGGAAACTTGCCGAGGCTGACTGGTTTTTCAAGATTGAGTTCCTATGATCCCTTTTCTCAGGGTTTCAAATTAACTTGGCCTAGAGCACCCACAGAACTCAGGAAACAAACGCTATTGCTTGTTTAACCAGATGGAATTTGATTAAAGGCCCATGATTTGGGACAAGGTTGAGGATAAAGAGAAGATGACCATACGGTTAAGCGACAAGCGGGAGGAGTGCAAAGCCTCCGAGCCCCACTTCCTGGGCCACGCTCCAGCCTCCAGGAAGCCTCCAGGAAGTTCCAATTCTGGTCCAGGAGATCCCGTGCTCCCCTTACCTCCTTTCGGCGAGGACTTTTCATGGATAAGCATGCAGTAAAACACAAGACAGCTGTGCTCAAAATTGTGGACTTGCGACAAGGAAGGGTATGATCTCAACCAACTGCGTAAAGACGAGGAAGAAACCCAGCAAGGACTGTCTGTGGAGACTCTTCCTGGCCTCTCTGTGCAGCATTCTGTCCTGCAGGGTAGGGGCAGGATCCTCTCTGGAATGAGGGTCTTAGGATCCACAATCAGAAAGGCAGGAAAATATCAGAGTCCTGCCTTGGGCTGGTGAAAGGAGGGCAGGAAAAAGCCAGAGAGAGATTCTGTTCTCTGAGGCCTGATCCTGAAGCCTAAAGTGCCCCAACATTATAACAAAGGACTAACAGGGACTATGGGAGTTATGAGTTAGAAACCGTGGACAAAAACATATATAAAATAAAATCACAATAGAGAATTATTTTTTCATGTTTTCAATTGTAGTTATATATTTATTACAGTTTTCCTATAATTTCTCTGTGTTTAGAGAAAGAGATCAAAGTTTCAGAATGCATAAAACTTACTATTCTAGACTCAGAAGCCCCAGTTTTGTTTTTTACCTTGTAACCTCATAAGGTTTTGATACTTTTACTTTTCTAACACCCAGTGGTAAATTCTTTGGAATTAAAAGGAGGTAGTGGGTATGACTCACATGAACATAAATACCTGGGAAATGTGTGCCTTTTTCAGATTCTCTCCCCAAAGAGAATAAAGCCAAAGTGAGAAAAAGTGAAAAGTGAGAGTTGGGAATAAAAGTAGATAGCAGGTTGATTCTACAGGTCCTTCAAATAATTAAAACAGGTGTATAGCAAGCAATGCCAGGATCAAGAAGTAGACACAAGATATCAATTATCAGGAGGCCAGCTTGGGTCCCCAAGAAAGATTATAGAAAACATAACAACTGTGTTTGGTCACAGAGCTTTGAGATAATGCAATGTGTGCCTTAGAGAGATAAGAGGAAACTGGCCTGCATTTCAATTCAACATTCAATATTTGATAAGATATCTCACTTTCCATCTTATTATCACTTATCACTGAGGACTTTTTGTGTCCTTCATGTCACTTATGATTAAGAAAGTTTTCATTTCTGACTGCTATCTGGTTTTGTTCCTTACTGGATTTTCCTCAAATAATTAAGTTCTTTAGTGATTTGCTACTGTTGACCCAGTAAGTGTCATTAACAGGATCATATTTTTTACCCTTCCTTAAGCAGATACAATCTAGTTTCCACTGAGAAACTCTACTGACAGTGTTTTGATTGGGTGATAGGAAGAGAGAAAGAAAATTGAGAGCATAGAAAGTCTAATCCTGAAGCTCTCTTGCTTTATAGCTCTGTGTTCCTTAGGACAAAGCCTAACTTAAACATTTACCTTCCCTCTTCCTTGTCTTGTCATCTTCTGTAGGCACATATTGGGAAAGGAAAAGCTTTATCTAATAGTTCCTCTCAATTGTCACGGTGGAAGTTGTTCCCTCAGGACTGTGTGTCCTTCCTGCTGCTGCTGAGCTGTTAGGGCCCTCTGACCATTTCAACACCTGGAACTCCTGGGCACAGAGCCCGGAGAGACTGTTTCTCTTTCAACATGGGTTATCTGTGGAGCAGACAACGTGGGTGAGATGGCACCATTAGAGCTCAAAGGATGTCACAGTCTGATAAACAAACTCACAGACACTCTTAATCAATACTGAGCTTGCATAGCTTCAGGCCAACGTTGGTGCAGGATAGGAAGCACAGCTGGGCAGCGTGTGCGCTCCTGGTGAGAATTTGTACAATGGCCCAGGCACAGCCCCCAGCCCCCACTGTGAAAGAGGAGAGAGAAGGTGTGAGGATTCCTTGGCAAAAGGAAGCTGGCATCCCTTGTTAATCACGCGGATCCTTCATGGGCGTGTGGCCCGCTCTGTCTTGCTGCAGCTGAATCGCATTAACTCCATCATATGATAAAGAATCTCAACAACTAGCAGCTTCAATTGCTCTGAGAATCCTCAGAACGTTGAACAGAACACGGCAACCTTACAAGCGTGCCTCGTTCATGATGGGCTCAGTGGGTTCTTCATGCAACCAGTGTGATCTGTCTGGACATCTCGGGGTCTGGAGGGGAGTTTGACAGGACAGCTACTATGGCCCCTCCTCTTAGGGAAACAGGCCACACTTCCCCTTCCTGTTTCGTTTCCTTTATTCTTTACAATATCACTCACGGCTTGTGAAGATATACCAGATGTTTCATTGGATGGGGTAAAGAGAATTATAACATATAAAATATACACTTCAATATTAGTTTCTTTTTATAGTACAAGAGAAATTCACCTAAGAAGTTAAACCCATTGCAGAGGAGTCTCCACCTATCGGATGTCTGTAGTCCTTAATCCTGAGTCATTCCCTTCATCCCCACATCTTTCTGAAAATCCTTCTTCTAACTCTGTCCTATAACTAGGAATGAAATTTCTTGAAAGCCTAACCCCTTCCCATTGTTATGAGTCTTATCCCAACGTTCATCACCCCGCCGCCAGCAGTACTCACTGACATCTACTAGTTTGTTTCAAATGTTCCTCTTTGCTTACTTTAGTGTCTATAAGCTACCTGTTTAACCACACAAATCTCCTGTGGGAAAACATTCATTTTCAGAATCAGCACAGTCTATGTGGATGAGGAGAACCATGTCCAAACTATGATAATTTGCAAGATTGCCTCCCTCACAGTGGAATCAGTATTTTGCATTACTAAGCAGAGCACTATCAATTTCTTTTCTACATTTTCCCTTTCAATTCCTCCTTTTTATTGTACATAAAAATAAGCAACAGGCTTAACAGCAAGTCATGCACTTTTTAATTGCCTCCTACTAGCTGTTTTGTATGCATATAACTAAATCATCAGACACCAGTGGTGAACATTTCAGTAGCAGAAGTCAACATGCATTAAGAAAACCAAAAAACCACATTTTCTTTAAACAATATTTCTTAAATTTTTCTCTTATTAATAGAAAAGAACTGGATAGGAGATAATCTAAGATAATTCTCACTGTATGAACATGAAGAGATGCTATCCTATTATGCCAATCAAGGTGAATTTTTTTTCTATATAGTTTAGCTTTATTCCAAAAACTGAACCCTGCCTTACTCAGTAATTCTCCTTAGCTTTTGCTTTATGTACAGGAATGAGAATTCTGGTTTAATTTTTAGTAAAGTCTCTTCTAAAAAATGTTTGAAATTTAGTATTCTAACATAAGGGAGATAATAATTTTTATTGAATGTTTTGCAGTGATATAGGCTCTCTTCCCATGCTTTCTTCATAGAAATCAGAAAAGAACCAAAAGTTGTTTCATTTGGAGGTAGATCAAATAAGATAATAGAGATTAAATATCTGCTATGCACATAATAAGCTATCTATTCTTTTAAAGCATGGGCACTAGCATATTTTCACAGTAGGACATGAAATTAAACAAAGTGCTATTTAAAGCATAGGTTTTTGAAAGCTGCTAATGAAAGATATTCAAGATTCCTCTAGAAGTTCTAAAGCTTCTCACTTATTTTTATGAATAATGTTTGTCCTTTAAATATTTTGTTTGGAGCTTGTTTCACACCTATGTGTTTCAGGCTAGAGATCGGGGAGGTCAACAAAAGGGTCACACAAATTCAGCAGCTGAATCACAGAATCACAGAAGTCTCTGGGGCTAAGCTTCTATTCATGGCCACAAAGAATTGCAGTCTGGTGGGAAAGCGTC